TATATATATATATATAACACAAACACACACAGACACACACACACACACACACACAGACGTTTTTTAATAAACACGGCAAGTGTAAAGAGTTTAACGTGCTGCCCAGACCCCTCTACATGACCTCGTGTGTGTGTGTGTTTGTGTGCGTGTGTGCGTTGCTAGTGTAGCTCTGTCGCCACGTTCTCCAAAATGTCTCCGCCGTGATTCTACTGTGACGCCGGCCTCTGTCACGGACCGGCACACAACCTTCGCCGTCGGAAGTCGCCGAGAGACGGACTACAGCCTGTCAGTAGCTCAACCCGGAGGGCGATCCTCCGAACCGTCCGCTCGATGGCTAAGTCCAAGCACGCCAAGGAGTCAGGTGCCCCTTCTCCAACACAGGAGTCACCGCAGGAAGGGCCCTGTGCTGCACCCGCCCTGCTGCTCATCACCGACACTGAACCATCAGCGACAGGCAAGTCAGGAAGTCCGCAGGAAGCTATGGCGAGTATGCCGTCTCACGCCGAGCTGTCGGCTCTGTTACGGGATGCCTTATCGCGGATCGCCGAGCTTGAGGCAGAGGTTCGTTCCACCAAGCATCTGCAGGCCTCTCAGCCAGCTCGTCCTAGTGGGAACGATGCAGCATCACCAGCTAAGCCGCAACCTCCTGTAACTGCACAGGGTGCACCAGCCTCCACGCCCCAGTTGCAAGACCCAGCACGGCCCTCAGTTACAGGTGCCTCTCTGCCTCAGGCGCCTCCATCCCAGCCTTTCCTGCAACAGCCGACACCTCTTGCTCCACTAAATTGCTCCGGCCTACCAACCAATCGGCCCTGTCGCAACGCCGCCTTTCCCAGTGGCCGTGACGAGATTCCGCTCTTCTACGGAGAGACTCCTGCATCCTTGAGTCTGCAGCGGAACCGGGAGGTGGAATCCTGGATTGCCAGCATCAAGCTTCTGACACTTCATTTACAGATGACGCCTTCATCTGAATGGCTCGTGGAAGGTCGTGTGGATATGCCCAGACACTTCTCGTTGGCCTGCTCTTTGAAGGTGTGACGCTGTGGGCCGAGTTCAGGGCAAAGCTGCGGAAGAAGTTTCGTGGGGCAAGCACAGCCCAACATATTTTGAGATGTTGGCCCAGACTGGATGGCACCAGGGCAGTCTCCACTGGATTTCTAGGCAGTGGAGATGGCTGTAATCCAAGGGAGCCGGGATTATCCACTTGACATCGGTGATATGGAAGGTCTGGTGCGCCGCACATTCACAGCCGGATTGCCCGCCTGGCTGCGACGCCAACTGCTGCTTCATGACTTCCCTCGACCCCGGATGGCAGAGAAGTACCAGGCAGCATGGGATGGCACTGTGGGAGTGAGACACGAGCTACCACCCATCAGCAGTCTTCCACAACCAGGATAACGGTCTGGAATTCTCGTCGGACGAGTGGCGCTCTCTTCTCTGTGGCATATCATCCTCAATCCAACGGAGTTGTCGAGCGCAGCAACAAGGCCGTGAAAAATGCGCTTGCGCTCTTGTCCAACGCACACCTGTGGCCCGTCCACCTACCGTCTGTTCGTCTTGCACTCAACACAGCCATCCACCGGTCTGTTGGGGACCAGCCTTGTACTTGTTGACTGGGAGGATGGCCCTCTTCACTAAAGGGCTGACCAACGTAAGACGACTGACTAAGATCTGATGGTACGGCGGTTAGCAGATGCCCGACGTCTAGCAGTCGAAGTGAGCCTACAGACATGGGAGGCTAACGAGGCTCCTTACGACCAGGCTGCCAAGTCGCTCCCGCCTTTTGAGCAAGGGTCACTGGTCCTGAGGAAAGTTGAGGGCAACCGAGGACGACTGGGCGATCGCTGATTGGGGCCATGCCGTGTTGCGAGGCAGCTAGGTCCCGTCACGTACGATGTGCTGGATCTGCAGGCCCATCACCGTGCTGTCTGTGTGCATGTTAACTAGCTGAGGTTGCACACGCCTTTCTCAGAGCTGGATTTTGCCGAGGAAAGAGGATAGGCTCCCTCGAGAAGGAACTATCCACAGAGAGACGTTGTGGCATTTTAGTGTAGTGCAGTGCATGATAGTGATCGTAACCGTGAAACACAGAAACAAAACAGGTCGTTCTCGCAGCGTGAATGTGTGAATGAATGTCTCGAGGTCGTGCCAGGTGTAATGTTCCTCGCAAGGCATTTTCATATGGGGGTGAGGGATTTAGTGAATTCTGAAGTTCACCTGTTCATTTTAATTACTTTTATTATTTATAAGCCTTTTCTTGAAGCCTTTTACCTATCTATTTTCCCATTACGTATTTTATTTCTGTATTATGCCCTTTTTATCGTGTTTTATCTTTTTTTTTACCGTATTTTGTATATATCTTTGTATTGAAATTTGCCGGGTTTTTTTCATTCCTTTTTTACTATGTTTACTTGTGCGGATTTTGTTTCACAAGTTTCACGTTCAGCCAATCACGAGTCACCAGCTATGGGGGGTATTTCACGTGCTCCCTTTTGCCGCCAATTTCGGCAGTTCAGCTTGACCCTCGGAGCTATCTGGACGTGTGGCCTTCTGCCTTTTTACGTGCTTTTATTGTGTTGTTTTTTCTGTGTTCATTTTTAGTCTTTTAAGTGATATTTTAATAAACCCGGAAAGTGCAACGAGTGTTTCAGTTCATCCCGTTAAATGTGATTTACAGCGAGAAAAGATTTCCAGACAGCCCAGCTCAGGGTGGGCTCACTCGGTGAACTACCGAACGGATGGTTCACTACAAGGCGAATATGGAGTAGAGAAGGATGTGAGAAGATGAAAGGTTTTCTAGAGGTATTGACCTGGGTGAGCGACTTGGAATGAACTAAGGTGACAGCAGATATCGAGGAGGGGGTAGTAGTAGCAGCAGTGGTCAGAGTAGTGATCAAAGGAGGGGAGGGGGACCAAAAAAAAAAAAAAATTAGTCAAGGAGGTTAGCTTATAAAGAATCAGTCCCCTGTTCCCCTGATAAGGATAAAAAGCCAGCCTATTAACCTTTCAACATAGCATTAGGAAGTTTGGAAAAAGAGAAGAAAGCAAGGGGGAGAAAAAAAACATGATTGGGGAGGACACAACACTGAATATTACATGAACACATAATTAGAAGAGGTACTTTAATTAGTTAATCTGTGAGGAGAAATTAACATATTTGATCACCTGGTCCTCCACTGGCTATGGCTGAATACAAACGTTAAGTGCCTGATGACAAGCAAGATCTAATTGCTCTTTCATAATAAAGCCTTTCCACTTTCTCACGGAAAAAAAAAAAAAAAGATACCGAAAGTGATTCAGAAACATTGAAAACAAACATGGCTATCCTTGTTTATTGTAATGATAACCAATTCACTTTCAGAATTGCCTCATTTTTTAAAAGATGTTTTCCATTTACTTACCTGTTGGGCTCTTCATGATGACCTTGCAATAAATGTTTCTGGAATAAAGATTTATATTTGTACGGCTTCCAATAACTGACGATGAAAAAATGTCCAATGTAAAAAATAAATAAAAAATAAAATATAATAAAATGGACCTTACAATTTTGTTTTCTTTCTTTTTCACTGCAATCAGCATTAATGCAAAGGTGAAAACTTTCAAAGTTTAAGAGCTATCTGGTTTTGACTCTTCATATCTTTTGAATAGAATTTTTTTTATGTCATCTTGAAATATCTATACAATTTTTGGGAAAAATGTAATTACCTCATCCTAAAGCATGATAAAAAAAAGAAAAGGAAAAGAAAGAAAGAAATATATATACTCATACTTTTTCTTACTGCAAACAAAACTTTAGTATTTCCAATTACTTTCAAAATGGTGAGTATTTATGAAAAAGGAAGCTTTCTTCCTTTCTTTGTTACTGTCTCTTTAATCATGAAACATAAATCATTCAAATAATAAATATGATTTATTTGAAAGACAGAAAGATTCATTCTAACTTCATCACAACCTTAACCTTTCATTTCAAGCAAAGAAAATAAATACAACTATAACTGTAAAAGAAAAAAAATCAAACACTTCCGTAATACTTTATTTATTCCTTCAAGTTGGCATTTCTTATTTTTCACTGTAATACCATTTCCTGTATTAGCACATATATTATCTTTCTCATTTTACTACACACTGAAAACCATAACTGCAGAGAAAAGAAGAATGAAAAAAATTATTTTGCAATATGAAGAGTGAAATAAAAAGCCAAAATATATTTTAAAAAGACTTTCTTTTGTTGATGACCTAAAAAAAAGTAAAATAGACATGTTATATACATCAAAGCAAATCCTAACATTCATAAAGAAAAAAAAGTGAGTATTCATATTTCCTGAAAAAAAAAAAAAAAAAAAAAAAAAAAAAAAAAAAAAAAAAATACATATGATATCAGAGCATATCTTGTGGGGGATGGGGGGAATCCCTATTTGACAAAAAAATTTGATACATATAATTCCTTAATCTTTATCTCCTGCATTTATTTTTCTTCTCTTTTGTTATCTTACAATGCTCCTTTACAAACTACTTGTTTTCTTTTTCACTTTTATCAACACAGAAATTTGTCCCTTGACTCTTGATGGAATGCATATAATAAGGGAAAAATGAACACTAAATATATTTTATTCTATACTTATTAAAACGAAAACAAACAAATTGAAACATACTGAAGGAACATAGAAAGCACTATTTCTCTA